GGGTCATTTGCAGGCAAGCATCTGGGTGCTCTCTCTTGCCCTTTCCAGAGATGAGTCCAGAAAACACAGGTGGGCTGGCGTGCTTGTGCCAAGTGCTGCTCACCTCTTCAGAGCAGCTGTGTGCTGCCCATGGCCCTGAGCTGGCATTAGCAATCACACTGCACGCCCTGGCACGGCCGATGCCGCAAATGCCAAAAGCTTACCCACGCTCAAAGGTGAATGAAAGAAAGCTGCAGAGCAGAACTAAATACACAGAAACCTGCTCTGGCTAGGAAATGCCTGAGACACAAATATCTGGGGGCTGGGAGAGCATGGAAATACTCTCTATATGGCCATCCCGCTCTTGTATCTTCGCACCCCAAGGTGCTCTTGGCAGTTGTCAGAAGAAGCAGCTGTGATGGATGGACATTGGGTCCAATCAGGTACAGCAGTTTTCCCTTGGTGCACCAGCCTTAGAGCATCGCCAGCCAAGAAGACCTTTCTGTGGCCTATTGTAACTAAGGGTTGTGTGGGAATGCCCTGTGAAAAGACCTTTACAATTCAAATGAAATAGCATGGTTTGAAATGAAAACTAAATCCTGATGAAAAGCACTTGGCTTGGAGTGAGGGCAGAGATTTTTATGCCACGTTCAAGAAGATACCATCCTTCTCTTGTTTCTGCTGGGTGTCAGCAAGAGGAGAAGAGATGGAGCTGCAATTCTGCAAGATTTATTTTATTCTTTGATTTACAGTACATGGAAATGAGATGAAACTCATTCCCTCAGCAATTGCCTTGGCTACAGATTCAGGGAAGAGAAATTTCTGGTACAGAAATGCATACAGTTGGATGTGCCATGGATGCCCTCAGCCTTCATGCAGGGCTTTTTATCTCAGATTGAAGAGAGAAACTCAACATCCGTGGAAGGAAAACTCAAGCAGGAGCAGTGGTCTGCTGCAAACTTGCCCCATAGTGTCACTGGGGCTCCCTGCAGTGGACAGGGAAGAAGGCAGGAGGTGTGCCAAGCCTGGTGGTTTAGGTACAGCAGTTGGCTTGGCAGAGGGACTTCTAGCCCCACGCACCCAAACCTGTTGGAAGGGTGCTCCAGACATTGCTCTTTCCCAGCCGCAGGGTGACTAAGAGGCAGGGCAGGACAAAACCACTCCAGCTTTTTCGAGGCCTGTGGTGTTGCACTCTTACGGGATCTTGAGTGTGCAGCAACTCAACAACCAGGGTGCAACTCGGCTCCTGGAGACGTTAGATGATGGCAGAAACACCACTTTGATCTCCAAATCAAAGCTGATTTTACACCTCTGTGAGGATTTGAGGGACAACTTGGAAACTCCATCTAGACTGACTCCAGAGTCACACAAGGTGAAGAAAACACGTAACTGTTTAGAGGCCGCTTTAATCTTCTGGATTAAGCTTCTGCTTTTTCCCTCTGTCTCATGGATTTGGGACTCCTGGTTTCTGGCCCTGCAGTGACTCAGCAGTGGGGGTTTCAGGGTGCTACACAGCTCTCCTTTTCTGTTTACCCAAGCACTATCACCTCTATTGCTGAAAGAGCCCTTGAGCCCCAGGAAAAAGAGATTTTAAGTGCAAATTTCAGGTAGTTGTGCTGATGGGACTTTGGGTCTCAGTGTACCTCATCCCACTGTGCCCACCTAGGGAAACCAAGGGGCAGATGTCATTGCACATCACTCCATGAGCCTTAACAAGATGTCCTGGCTCTGCCAGCTGCTCCTGATCTGCCTCATTCACACCAAGTGCCATAATACAAGAGCATCAGCCCTGCACAGTAACATGGGCCTCAGAGAAAGAGGGCTCCAGGCAGCAGGCTTTCAAAACTGAACACTGAATGCAACAGGAGCACAGGATGAGGTGAGGTCACTGGAATATGGGCTGCCTGCGTGGGCAGGCTCACGCTAGCTTGATGCTGCTCACATTGTCACAGCCCGTGCTGTCCAGCAAACCTCTGCTCGGGTGAGGAGTGAGAAGCAGAGACCACGTCAGAGGGTCCAGCAAGAGCAAAGTGTCATCAGCACATGACCTAGGCTACTGCAGAAAGCAGTTCTTACTCTAGTGCAGGATGAATTGTGCAGATGCCTGGTCCTGATTCTCCACTGATCAAACTCTGCCGCATGGCCACGTGCATGTAGGACCCTGCAGAGGGGCTTTGCAGCAGGCAAAAGGCAGTGTGATGGAGCTCAGGCACACCCTAAGAATAGGCTGTGTTATTTTCACATGCTTGCTGTTTCTCAAACAGATGTGATCTCAAATACCATTAAAAGAAAATCCTTTCCTCCAAGATCGCAGGCGCACCCCAGGGACAAATTTGCCTCAGCAGCTCCTGATGATTGGGGATTCATCCAAAAAGCAAACTTGTCGTTTTTCCCTCCCACCCTTTTCCCCAGCAACCTTGTACAGCAGGAACAGCAGCAGTGCACATGTCTGCCCAACACAGCGCGATTGCTCGCACCCTAGAAATAGCACTTGGAAAACTGCATCATAGCAGCACCTGCTGGCAGTGCCTCTTTAAGCCCCCAGGCCACGTTATTCAAGGAAGTCCTACTGGTGTTGAGTTTAAGCATCAGGAACAGCTTTTTTAATTGTCCCACACATTTCATTTGGTGAGAGTTATTTTGTGGGTCTTTGAGGAATGCCACACACAGCAAGGCAGAACACACCTGTAAGTTTGCATCCTGATCCCTCTGCTGCCCTCAGAATTGATGAAGGTAGCTTTTTTAATTAACATTCCTGACAAAGTTTGGTTTGGGTTTTTTTTTCGTACATGGTAGCAGGGTGCGGTGTACATTTAATGGGAGTTGTCAGGAAAATTATTGATTTCATTAGTAATGTTTTTGAAATCGTGCCATTCTGTTAATTCTGTCAGGTCCTCTTTGACAGTTTGGCTGAGAGCCTTTTTGCATCCTTCATTAGTTTTTTAATACACAGTAATTTCCCCTAACTCATCAACGCAAGATCAGCTGCACGCTTGGTAACCATTTTTCCTATGTACAAACCTATCGCAGCAATAATTATAAACAGAGCAAATTATTACAGATATTCATTATAAAATACAATTAGGCTGAGCCGTGCTGCATTGTTAACACTTTGCACAGCCATCGCTTGCTCTTGAGTAAATGCTTTCATTAGAACCATGAAGGGCAAACTTAATACACTTCTGACTCACAGCAAACAGCACCAGAAATCATCCTGGCTGCTCCTCCGAGTGCTTGGTGGTGTTTGCTCTGAGTGAGAATAAAATGTTGACTCTGCTGCCAAATACTTATCTTGACAGAGGGGCTCTGGGTGGCACTATGGGCATGTAAGGTGGGGAGAAAGCCAGAAGTTATGGCACTGTGGCCTGAATTTCACATCCCTGAAGCATGGCATCCTTACATGTTTATGGGTTTTCAGTGCTGGGACCTGGCAGGAACAGTAGATCCTCCTTGATCATATATTAGAGCAGCCTTTGAGCTGCTCCAACTAGTGTTGGCTGCCTATGGAAAGCACAGAGAAGCCAGGATAGGACAAGATGGGTTTCTTGGAAGGACAGGACAGAGACCCTGGCAGAGGGAGAGCGACTGGGAAGGTTGTTTAAGCAAGAGCATTCAGAGAAGGGCAGTGCCATCAAGCATGGGGTAAAAGCAAATCCAGCCAGGAGGTCAGCAGCAACCAGAGGGCTGCAGACGCTCACTGCATTGTCCTTTTACTTCTTGTTCTTACTCCTGCCTTATTTCTTGTCTGGGACAGGGCTGGAGCCAGGAAGAGGTCCTGTACCTGCAACAATGCCACGCATACGTGACAGTGAGCACTTCAGGCAGGAACAGGGACTGCTGGATTTCTGCCCCCATCTTGGCTTTGCAAGGGCACTGCATTGTAGGAAGGATCCCAGTAGACCCCCCCTATACACTAGCCCCTTGTATCCCAGGGGTTTGGTCACCTTCTGGCGAGCAGCTTCCAGCTGGGTGTTTCTGGGCTACTTAAATGAGTCCCTGAAAAAAGCTGGAAAACTTTGGTGCTATTTTTTTGTCCCCTGCTAAAGCAACTCATTCCCTCACTTTTCACTCTTTTGGGTGTCCCAAGGAGCAAATATCTCTGCTGGTGGCCACATCTCTCCAGCAAGGCTTTTGTCCTTCATTGTGTGTGCTTTGTGGCCATGCTCTGAGCAGGGACTCTGCCTTTGGATGCCCTGCTGATGTGGCAGGGGCAAATTCAGCAACCTCAGGCCGTGAGAGAAGAGAGACTTGTCACACGACTCTTGAACAGCAGAGAACTAAACCATCGGAACTTGGGGAAGATGTGCTGCTTCCAAAGGAAAATGCAAAAGTCAAATCTCACCATCAATGAAACTTCCCTTCACCCTGTCCTAACAAAAAAAACATCTTTCCCTCACATTCCCTCCATAGAAGAAGACCTAACTCCAGCATCCCTTTTGAGCTTGTAAATCAGAGCCTCAGGAGCACAAATTGAGCAGATTATCATGATGCTGTGCATGAATCTGCTGTGTCTGGTGAGAAAGAGACTCTTCTGCACACAGGGGCTGGTTTAAGCAGTGCTTCGTGCTTCCAGGGGCTTGGTCTGTGATGGTTCCCAGAGCTTGTGCCCCCAGCAGCCCATGTGGTGTGTACAAGCTGTCGAGGGGCTGTTCCGTACCCTGGGTTTTTGGAAAGGGACGTGTCTTGCTGCCCTGTGGGCTGAGGCACCTCTGTGGGAGGCTGGTCCAGGCTGTGTGACGTCCAGCCATGGCCTCTGGCCATGACAGAGAGGATGGCACCCTGCCAGCTGCTGATGCTCTGACCCTGTGGTTGTACTCATCCTGAGGCAAGCTCAGCACATCATCTCCTTCCCTTTGCTTTCGGCTGCGCTGCCTCTCCAGCCTGTGCTACCAAACCCACTGTTTTCTGTCCACAGCTCCCTGCTCCTGCCATTTCCACCCTCATCCTCCTCCTCTTCCTGTCTCCCCTCCTCCCTTTTCCCCTCTTACTCTTGAATCTCTATTTCTTCTTCTCTGTTCCAGCAAAACGATATCAATCAAGGTGATAGATGATGAGGAGTATGAGAAAAACAAGACCTTCTACCTAGAGATCGGGGAGCCCCGGCTGGTGGAGATGAGTGAGAAGAAAGGTGGGGGACGTGCTCCGGGGCTGAGCCCAGCCTGTGTGTCCCTGTCTGGCTCACTCATGCCTGGCACCTGCAACACCGAGCTCGCATCCCCCACGCCTATGGAAAAGGGCAGGCGTGAGGACGTTTTCCACCCCCCCTGAACTCAGCCTTTCCTCGGCCCGCTCAGGCTGGAGCCCAGCCAGGCAGTGGGGATGCTCCTGCCCTTCCCCATACGCCCCAGGGAGGATGTGCAGCCACTCCCCCCCACCCAACCATCTCCGGCACCACAGCACCCGGGTGGACATGAACTGCATGCGTGTGTGACGCCAATCATGTGTTTGCCTTTGTCTTGTGTTCCCACAGGAAATTCATTACCCTTAGAGTACTTGACCGTGAGGAGTATGAGAAAGAGTGCAGTTTCTTCCTTGTGCTTGGGGACCCGGTGTGGCTACGACGAGGAGTGAAAGGTGTGAGAGTAAAACCAGACCAGCTCTCGAGACGCTGCCGTCCGCTTTCTCTGTGTCTCCCTACTCTCACATTCCTTTCTCCTCGCACTTTGGCTCCTGGCTATTTTGCCCTCCCTCCTTTGAAGCTTGGCCACTGCACCTTTTTGCTCTGTTTTCTTTCCTCTTTCGTTTTGGAGGACACTGTCTCTCTCACCAGGGTCCCCCAGGAGCAAGAAGTGCTCCCTGGAGGGCCCTGGAGCATCTGGGCAGGGGATGATGAGCATCACCAGCCCCTAGAGACAGTCTGAGAGCACTGCCCTGCCACATTGCAGCTACACCTTCTTCTAATTGAGTAGAAAATTCAGGCCTGAGAAGTAGGCAACGTTGCATCATTTTTGTCAGAAGATAAAATAGCCTTCACTTGAAATAAAATGTACGGCCAGGGCAGTAATTTTAGCCTTTTTAATCTGGCACTAGGATGTGAAAATAGCTAAGAATCGCAGCACAAGCAGGTAATGCCATAAGATGTAATCAGTCTAGGAGAAATCAGGTTATACTCAAATGAAGTTTCATGGCTCTGCACTGGATAATAGCTTCTCATAGGAATAATAAAAACAATTTCCTCTTCTATCACATTTCTAAAGCAACTGCAAACCTTCCCAAATTTTCTGCTAGGAAATTAAGTGAAAATTAATGGTGACAGCTAATTCTGTGCACTATTGGTGGCTAAGCGAAAAGCAGTTTTAGAGTTACTTAAGATAATTAGTTGCCCTACAACAGACCCTTATTAAAGCCTTTGTAAAAAAATTGGCAGCAGCGTTTGGTCTGTCTGCCTGGAAGCTGCTTTCTAATTTCTGTGACATAAGCTCTCACTTCAGCAAGCATAGGGCTGTAATGTGTTATTCGTTCAGGGTGGAGAGGGCCCTCTGTGGTCCCCACGTTGAGTGGGGACATGCTGCTATATTTCAGGCTAAAAGCACATTTGGCAGTGCTGCCACATTCCCCTCCGGTGCAGCTGCAGTCTGGGTCAGCTGCATTGTCCCTTCCATCAGATCTCCTGCTGATACATATGACTAATTTTCAAACCAAGACACTAGCTAGCAAGAAGCAGGGCTAAAAAAAATCAGACACACAGGCATGGCCCAGGCTCTGCAGGTGGGATGTGTATCCCTAAACAGTGCTGGTGGCATCTCTGTTGCCAGGATAAAGTGACACATGGGACAACTCAGCTTGCCCGCTGTGGCTTTCCCCAGGTTCACAGGGACCAGCGTGGGCTCGGCCTTATGAGTCCAGCAAGAGCTAGCATGCTCTCCAACCCTCAGGTCTGAGAATCATGGTACCAACTCACAAGATCCCAGCTGAAATTTTTAATTAAAAGGAAAAGGAAAGAAAGTTCCTTATCTTCCTAGGCACAAAAAAAAAAATATCTCTGAGGAAAGCTCAGCTTTGCCAACTCACTAGCTGGAAGGAAAGTCAAGATTTTAAAAGATGCAATTTGCTGCTTTGGCCATGCAATGATTTTTTATTATTATTATTATTTTTTTAAAAACTCAATTTTTGTGCTAGGTTTTGTATGAGAGGCAGTGAAGCAGGGCAAGCTGTATGCTCGGCACCTTGACAGGACAGCATCTCTGGAATGTCACCCTTGGGCCACGTAGCTGTGGTGAGGTCTGCGCCTCAGGGGACAAAGACCCACCTGTACACTAAGGGAGATTCTTTTTCTTTTGTTTTGGAGACCTAAAATGTTGAGCGACAAGATCCTTGAGCCAAGCTTTGCCACAGACTTCTTCTCTCACCCATGCCAGAAGCACAGCTGCCTGCTGGAGGTGTTGCTCCCCACTAGGCAGCTGGAGGAGGTCAAAGCCAGTAGCCACTGCACATGGGACTTCTTGTTTCCTCCCCAGGGCAGAACGGCCTCCGAGACCAATGGAAGATCTTGCACATACAGTTCAAAGGGGAAAAAATGAATTTTTGGAGTGTGCCCTTTAATCCCATCTCTACCCTGTATTTGCAATAGTTTTTATTTTAAATCCACGATCCCATATGTTTCTGTTCCTTTATTTTTAATGCCTTTCTCTCAATACCAATGGTGTCCTGCAGCTTTACAGATCTGAAATCTCTGCCCTGGGATCTGGAGTCTTAGGATATCCCTTTTTGATTTCATTATTCATTTACTTTTCTTCTTCCATGTTTGTCTCTGTCTGTCTCTTTCACAGCCCTGTTGTTGAATGAGCTTGGTAAGCGCGCATTCTTTTTTTTTTCCCCCATCTTTCCAGTTTGTCTGCATATTTTCGGAAGACAGTTGATTTTGCTTGATGTTTTTATTTGCTCACAACATCATCTTTTAGGGTCATCATCACTATTTAAGCTTAGGTATTTAATGCCACATCCTTCCTTGGAGTAGAGCCCCAAAGTCACTAGCTTTAATGAGCAGTAACCTGCTGTGGTAAGGGGCATTTTTAGGGAGTGGCATTGTTACAGTCATCGTAAACTCATCCACACCCCAAGTTACAAAACTGCACCACTCAAACTAACCTGTTGCCTCCTACACTGGTATGTCCAACAGGATTGCCTGGAGACTTAGGGATGCTTAAGGCTGGACAGGAAAGTTGGCCAATCCTTTTTGAAGGGATGGTGCAAACTTTCCCTCTGCTCTTGGGGAGATATAGAGCCCACTCAGCCTCTGAATTTCCTCACTGGCTATCCCCAGGATAGAGCAGCCAGGGAGGGAAGCAAAGCTTCCCAAATCACCCCCAGCCCCACGGCAGGCTCACACTGGTTTTACCCACTCTGCAGCATAGATTAGATACTGGGAGGTGGCAGCTTGCAGATGTGGGTTGAAAAGTCTGTGTTCAGGTCTCCTCACACTATCCTTGGGGTCAGTGTTGGGGATCAGCCCCTGCATGGAGCGGGGAAGGAACACCATGTTCCTGCAGGCTGCAGGGTGTCCATGTTACTGTACCAATACTAATTATCTCTCTCTCTCTTCTTCTCTCTCCCCCCAATCCCTACTCTCTCCTCTCTAGGTGGCTTCACCATCACAGGTATGGATTTCTGCTTTCCTTCCACCCCCTCCTTCCCTTCTCTCAATGGCCATATGCTCACCCTGCTCTTTCCTCTTGGTTTCCTCTTTGTTTATGTTCTGTCCTGGAGGGAAACTCTGGAAGGGTAAGAAGGCCCCATGCCACAGCCCCACTGCCCCACCCAGTCACACTAACACCATGTCCTCTCACAGAGTGCTCTGCCTGCTGCACATGCCTAACCCTCACCCTGGAGAGGTGAGCTGTCACCCTTGACATGTCAGGCAGCCCCCTTCCATCTGTTGGAGAAGGGGGCACTTCTCCCCTTGGTCCATCCTTTCCCTTCCTGCTGCCCACACAGGAGGTGTGCACAGGGCTCTGCTCAGCACTGGGAGCCTGTCCTCACTCCCCAGGCAGCAGCCAGGGTGCCTGAACACTGTAGCAAGTGAGAGACCCCATGGCTGCTCCTTATGCAGCCCCTGCCCTTCCCACCAGCAAGACCCAACTGAAGGGTTTGTCCGTCCATCAGTAGATCAGCCCACCCATCTCCCCTCTGGCCAAGCACCGCAAGGGGGAAAAGGTCCCAGATCCCACATGTTGCAGAGCAGCCCCTCAGAAGCCCTGGAAACAATAATTCAGACTAACAAGGCTTTGACCAGGAGGAGGAGAAGGGCTTTCCCACAACGTGGTGCTGCCTGTGCAGATGAGGGCAGCCAGCAAGGGAGTGACACTAACCCTTTGTGAATTTGGAGTAGTTTACTAACGGCATGGCAGCGGTTTGCACGGGGCCGACAGTCCCTCCTGCTGATCTCCTGCTCATCGCTTTGATAGGCAAACCTGTCTTCAGGAAGGTCCAGGCTAGAGATCATCCTCTTCCTTGCACCGTGGTCACCATCCAAGGTACCCACAGCGTGACACTTGAGGGCCGTGGTGGCCTAAAATGGACTGACTGGGGTGTTTAGCTACTGACAGTTTAGCTCCTGTCTCCAGTGACTCCAGTCCTCTTAGCCCTGATATCCTCCTGCTCAACCCTAGGGCGGACTGGAAGTAGGCTCACTGGGGATCTGCACAGGAACAGTGACAAAAGCCCTGCTGCCTTGGGTCTCCATGCCCCAAAGGTTGCACACATGCCAGTAGAGCTGCAGACTTGCTCCCTTGCTCTTGTAGTCTCGCCTCTGCTTCCTCTCTCAGGGTTTGGGGCCAGCCCATGTCCTGTGGATATATACAAGCATGTTCCTCATACTTGTATGGTGAAGCACTATTTCCTCCAGCCCCACCATCTCAGTAACAGGTTCATGCTCCCAGCTGCCAGCTCCTTCCCCAAGGTAAAGCCCTGCTCAGAAGGAGACAGAGCCAAGATTTAGTATCTATCTCAGCACTGGGGCTGCTGGGAGCTCTCTGGTTGCAGCAGGCTGATGGAAGTGTCCCGACCACGTCCTGATGCAGACCTGGAGAGCTGGGAAATGGTGCAGCCTTAGTGATGTTCTGTCCCCTCCCAGCTTCCCCGTGGGAGAAGGAGCAGGTATCAGGTGATAAACTATTCCCCAGCCCTGAGGGTGGACTCCTTCTTTGGCTAGATGAGTTGCAGACCTCTTACTAGCACTTCCCAGAAAGACTACCTTGTCTATTGCTCCATGACCTCCTTCTCAGCTGCTCTGTCGCTCGCACTCCCACTCGGAGGCTTCCTGACCAACCCCACAGAGAAGCCAGCTGCAGAGAGTGACCAGCCAGGCCTGGCTCACCAACAGGCTCTTTGCTTTGCAGAGGAGAATGAAGAAAAGCAGAGCGGCGAATTGCAGAGATGGGGCGCCCAGTCCTGGGAGAGCACACCAAGCTTGAAGTCATCATTGAGGAGTCCTACGAGTTCAAGGTACTGTCTACATCTCCTGGCCCTGTTGTTCTTCACTTCCAACTGTGGACCATCCTTTTGGGTCTGCACAGCACTAGCAGGCAAATGTTGATGGTATCACAGCAAAGCAAGACAGCTCCTGGCACCACAAGGTCTCAGGGAATGACCAAGGGACGCTTTGAAAGGTGGCTAAGCCAAGGCATGATGAAAGGGTGAGGGTCACTCCAGTGAGCCTCAGAGAAGGTAGTGGGTTAAAATACACTCTGCATCCTCAGTCTGTCCATTAGCCCACAGCCATGGTCCTTGGGGGATGAGCCCAGACTTTCTTTCCCACTGTAGTTATTATAAAATCACATCAGTCTGGTGAGCCTAAGAGCTGACTGGGGTCCAAAATGCTGCAGCTTGCTTCAAAACATAACCTCATCCTCACAGCAATCTGCTACACCCAGGTCCTACTTACAAGAGGTCTTGAGTGAGCCCCAAGCTTGTGACTGCTAACACAAAGTACTGATACCCTAAATGGAAGTAACAGTTCTGAAGCTGATCTGCTGTGAATGCATATGCCAGATTGAGCTGAAAACTGGCCATTTCAGTATCTTCTCCATTTTTCTGCAGTAGAAACCCCCCCAGACCACCCTTACTGTGCCACAGCACTGACTGGCTCCCTTCCATGACTTTGCTGCCAATGGGTCTGAGGCATCACAGCACATGAGCAGCCCTCAGGATGCCTGGCCAGGAGCATCTCCTCCCCACTGCTAACACAGCACCTTCCCTGCCAGCACTGAGCTCCAGCTCCTGAGCAGCACAGAAGTAGAGCCCGGCTTCATGAGTGGACCTTGATCAAGTCCCAGTCAGTGGTTTGAAGCAGCCCAGTAAACATTCTTCCCAAGGCATGGGGAACAATAGGAGCTGTGGCACCTCTTCTGCTGACCACTTGGCCAACTAAGAAGGATATTAACAGGCAAACCAGCAACCAAAATCCTCTGTCCACTCTTAAATCATACAGCAGAGATCCAACATGCCAGACCACTGTGAGGAAGAATAAGTCAATACATTCACTCACAGCACAGGGTGTGCAGGAGGGAGCAAGATGGGCAAGGATCCAAGCTGTGGGAGATGGAACCAGCAGACAAGGAGTCCAGTTATGTAGTAGTTCCCCAGAGAAACTCATCATAGCTTGCTCCACTTGTTATGAAGAGTCAGAGGGCCCCTTCAATAACCAAAAGTCCCAACCCTACTGCAGAGTCAGCTCTTATAGAGGTGGCTTCTTGCCCTGCCTCCAAGTTAATGTGGAAGGTGGAGGCACCTGGTGGTGATCTTCTAATTGGTTCCCCCCCCAGGCTAGCCAGACCCTGGGTGAAAACCAATCAGGAGGGTCCTGGTTGTGAACATCATCTATATGCCAACCCCCATTCAGGGCTGGGGGTTTAATCCCAGCACTTCAAGCACCTCAGCCCTATTTGCTGTTAAACCTCTGCTGAGATGGTTCATTCTCCCATCATGAGCAGGTTTCAAGTGGTCTTTCTGAGCAGCAGTGAGGGGAATTGCAAGTACTTACATTTGCTCTCACTGCTGGGGCTCTGGACCCAAGCTTAAAATCTGCTAAGCCTTTTCCATAAGTGCCTGGCTGTAAGCACTAGTGCCCGTGGGGGTTAGCTCAGTATCTCCAGCCTGACAGCCCCTAATTCTCTCCTCTGCATCTATACCCACAGAACACAGTGGACAAGCTCATTAAGAAGACGAACCTGGCGCTGGTGGTTGGCACAAACAGCTGGAGGGAGCAGTTTATTGAGGCTATCACTGTCAGTGCAGGTGAGTTTGGATCACAGCTCCAGGTGAGTCATGATGGAGGAGCTCTGCGAGCAGAGCGGGCAAAGAGAGGGTGGCACAGCACTTTGCCTGGCAGAACGTGGTGCAGCACTTCCCATGGCAGTTCATGTAGAAGGACGCATGGGAAAGGTGCTGAAAGCTCTGCCAGCTCTGGCCAAGAAGGAATAGTTTCCCTCCAGCAGAAAGCCACAGCCTCTCTAAACTCTGCACCCACCATGACTGCGGCAGCCTCCCATCTGGAGCTCCAGTGGGAACTTGCAGCCACCCAGGCATCAGGCTGCGGTCTCTGCCCAGCTCTCACACTGGTGCAGAAGGGCAGCAGTGAGCTGTGGGAGGTGTGCCCAGGTAGGGGAACTCCTCTGCTTAATAGCAGAACCCTGGGAGGAGCTGAAGAAGCATCAGGGAGTGTGAGGTTGATCACTGGAATCCCATCCTGCCTTCCCGAGACAGGCTCAACAGTCAGGCAGGACACAGAGCACAGAGGATTCCCTTCCCCATCTCCCTCTGACCAAACAGAGTGACCAGAAGGAGAGGGGACAATGACAGCAAGTTCCTGCTCAGCACAGCAGGTATGGCCCATCAGCAACAGCCCCACCTTCCCACGTGCCCTTGGGTAGCCAAGACCAATGAGAGGACCTCCATCTATACCCATAAGATGTGTAGAGTGAGTCAATGTCTCCTCTAGCTTAGAAGCTTCACCAAAATTAAGTTAGTCTACACTCTACACCAAAACTGCTTCTAGAAAGAAGACATGTCATTGTCATAGGTGACTCCCTTCTGAAAGGAACAGCAGGCCCAACATGCAGGCCAGACACACTTCTTAGGGCAGTCTGCTGCCTCCCTGGGGCCCAGGTTAAAGGTGTGGTGAGAAAACTTCCTACCCTGGTAGGGCCCTGAGCAGGACTGTTGATCTGCTTGAAGGTCAGGAGGCTCTGCAGAGGGGTCTGGACAGGCTGGAGCAATGGGCTGAGGTCAGTTGGATGAGGTTTAACAAGGCCAAGTGCCAGATCCTGCACTTGGGTCACAACCACCCAGGCAACAGTCCAGGCTTGGGGAAGAGTAGCTGGAAAGCTGCCTGGTGGAAAAGGACCTGGAGACTTGAAGAAAAGCCAGCAGTGTGCCCAGGTGGCCAGGAAGGCCAAAAACATTCTGGCCTGTATCAGAAATAGCGTGGCCAGCAGAACTAGGAATGTGATCATCTCCCTGTACTCAGCACTGGTGAGGCCACACCTCCAACACTGTGTTGGTTTGGGCCCCTCACTACAAAAAGGACATTGAGGTGCTGGACTAGGTCCAGAGATGGGCAACAAAGCTGGCAAAGGGTCTAGAGAACAAGTCTTGAGGAATAGCTGAGGGAACTCAGGTTGTTTAGCCTGGAAAAAAAGGAGGCTGAGGGGAGACCTTATCACTCTCTATAACTCCTTGAAAGGAGGTGGTAGTGAGGTGGGCAACAGTCTGTTCCCCCAAGTAACTAACAATAAGACAAGAGGAGATGGCCTCAAGTTGTGCCAAGGGAGGTTTAGATTGGATATTAGAAAAAATGTCTTTACAGAAAGGATTGAAAAGCATTGGAACAGGCTGTTCAGGGAAGTGGTGGAGTCACTATCCCTGGAAGTTTTCAAAAGATGTGTAGATGTGGTGCTTAGGCATATGGTTTAGTGGTGGACGTGGTTTAGTGGTGACCTGGCACTGCTGGGTTAATAGTTAAATGTGATGATCTTAAAGTTTTTTTCCACCCAGAATGATTCTATGATTCTACAGCCTTGCTCGTGTCTGGGCTAGACAGCGTCCATACTACTGACAGCAGTGGATGCAAAACAGCTGGCAGGGTCATCTACATATTTATATAAATAAGACAAATGATTAAACCCTTTTGTGAGAGCACCTTGTCTGACCTGTAGCAAACTTCCTGCATTAAGTGTTTCTGTAGCACCCTGGCTCTTCCCAGATGGCAGAGGGGACAAGTCATTTCAGTGAGAGAGATCTGGGAGGCAAGCACAGCGTTTAAATTCAGAGCTGCTTAAATGATGCTGGTGCAAAACATCCCTGGTGCTCCCTGCACTGCTATGGTGAGGACAACACAGCAGCAAGGGTGCCAAGCCCTGAAGACAGCCAGTGAGTCCTTGCTGTGGGCCAAAATTTGCCCTTGTCTCCCTGCTTTCAGGAACTCCTGCTGCTCCAGCCAGCTGTGGGGTTATGGCTCAACAAGACAAATAGCTGCAGCAGCAGCATGTGATATCTGTGGTCATATCAGATCATATCTGGTCATATCTTCCCGCTCTTGGAGAATTGCCTTTCCCCCAGAAAAGCCCTGTTGTACTGTTCTCACAGGCAGCAGCACCATGTTACCAGTATGCCCAGCACATGATGTATTAGCATTCCCACATCTGTGGAAGATGAAAGAAAAAAGGTCTCCTCCAGATGTGGTTTTAACAGCTGGAGACACTATAACTTACTGGCTGGGTGTCACAGTGTCACAGCCCAGCACAGGCTGCATGTGTGCACGCATTAGGGCAAATCAACCAGCTTAAATTAAATCACTGGGGAAGGAAATTTGAGCTCATCTAGCTAATTGTGCATTGAAATGCAGGAGGAGAACACTCCCATCTCCTACCTCAAGCCCAGCTGTAGAAGGGAACCTCTGCCCAGCACAAATTGAAAGTGATGGCCATGCTATCTACACTCCATCCCTGAAAACAAGGACAGGACATTGTGCAACAGCTATCTCCTCAAATTGTGATCCCTCCTCTTGTAGCATGGTTATTCTTGAAGCCTCCAGCTAAGAGCCTCCCATTATTTCAAATATGACATGAACATATCATGCAAGACAATCCTTGCTGCAGGTTTTGTAGCTAATGCAGCTAAACTAATTATGCCAGAATCAATTATTTAATTGCATTCCCTATTTGAGCACAGATAATGACTGGTACTTGGATCTCATCTCTGTCACACCGTAAAGACTGCAGTTATGTGAAAGCCCTGCTGCCACCATGTCTTGAATTAGAGGATGATTAACAAATATTTTATAAATGTGGCATATTTCGGTGGCCATGAGCTGTTCCTTGCAGTTGAGGAACAGTAGTTTGTCTCTGAGCTGGTTTTTGCCAGGATTTAGCTCCTCAAGCTTTGTGCCGAGCAAGTTAAAATGCCTCAAACACTGGAGTTTGGGTTTGTGTCTTTCACCTTGTGAGCAGGTGAAGGTCACACATTCCCATTTCAACATCATGGAATCATAGAATCATAAAGGTTGGAAAAGACTTCTAAGATCATCAAGTCCAACCATCACCCAACGCTACCATGACCACTAAACCATGTCTTGCAGTGCCACTTCTACACGTTTTTTGAACACCTCCAGGGATGGTGACTCCACCACCTCCCTGGGCAGCCTGTTCCAATGCCTCACCACTCTTTCAGTAAAGAAATTCTTCTCAACATCCAAACCTCCCCTGGCTCAGCTTGAGTCCATCCATGAGAAGTAACACCCTAGATAAGAAGAGAAACCTTAAAACCCCACTTCCCATACAATGAGCAACTGGCAGCAAAGTTTTCAGGGAGGCTGAGCGATGGACCAGTAGGTGAGATCTGTCGAAGGGCAGTACAGGTGCAGGCAAGCCTGTGCCACACCATGCTGTGCCATCCTGTGCTATCCATAGGGCTGACCTGGAGCTTCTCACTCATAGCTGCCTTTGGTGTTCACCCAACAGCCCAGGAAGTTTTTTCCACAGAAATAAACATCTTGGAGTTTGTGAACCTGTTCCTGAATGCACCCCTGGGTCACCACCCTACTTCACTCTGCATTTCAAGTCACCTTCAGAGGATCTGACCAGCTCTTCCACAGAGAGACATTGTCGCTGCTCAACAAAATGACAGACAGATCTGGATGAGTGCTATGACAATGGCACTTATGTTCCTTTTTCAGCCTGTTTTATTATCTCCATGAAGACTTAGATCCATGACAGTCCTGCTGCCGTGCAGCTTGGGAGGGGATTAAAATACCTGCTGCAAAATTACAGTGTGAGCACAGCACAGAGCATCCTGCCAGTACCAGCCTTTGTGCACCAAGAGAAGAAAACAGGCCAGCACAGGCTTCCCAGGCTGCAAACTGTTCCTCATCTCCACAACAATGCGCAGGAACAGGGTATTTATATCTGCTGAAACAGTAGCACCATGCCACTGATTAGCTACTGTTCCTACCATGGGGAGCTTGAAGTTTTAAAGCCAAGAACACATCATTTTCCATCAAGTTATTGTAGGCATCAAGCCTCCCACTGCTTCTTTCTTATGTTTGGGTCTTTACCTGGGAAGGTGCTTTGAAGACAAACCATGTGTGCAAGGATGCACCCTAACAGGGTGCTGAGAGTAAGACTTTTCCCTGGCTGGTCATGGCTTTAGCTGAATAATGAAAACTTCCAAAGATGATGTCCATCAGCCAGACTATTTGTCCCAGGGCTGCACTACCCTCCCAGAATAGACATTTCTCCTTGCTGTTACCATCCAAGGTGCAGTTTGTGGCCATTGCCCCTTTTTGTATCATTTTTCAGTGCAGAGAGGGTTTTTCACTCCACCCTCTCTGTACGTGCCCTCCAAGTCTTTGCTTGGTCCCCTCCAAACTCCTCGTCTCCTGAATCACCAAGCCAGCTCCTTTCACCTCATCCCTCATGTGGGATGCCAAATCCCCCATGTACGGACAGCTATCTGCATTAGAGGATCTCTTGGGGGTGACCACAACCTGGGTGATCCTGGGCCTTTTCATTTTCTTGCTCCCATGTGCCACATGCACCCTCCATGGGATGACAAAGGGGAACAGCCAAGAGTTGGAAATTCACTGCACAGGGTTTGGCCTCCATCCAGGAAAGATGCCATGTTTTGATCCCCCAGTTGGTTTTTCATCACAATCTTTGCAATGAGGCAGAAACCAACTGTTAAGAGCAGCAACAGAGCAAACAGCTCACCAGCAGCTTTGCCCAGTAGCTGTTGTCATG